TCCACCTTAGTATCGTATTCCGGTTGGTAGTGATATAGGGTGGGTATTGTCAGGAGGGCAGTTTTCAACTTTTCAAAGGCTTGTTGGCAATCCGGGTCCCATACGAATGGCCGTGAGGGACTCTGTAGGGCGATAAGTGGTTTTGCAATTCGGGAGTATTCGTGAATGAATTGTCGATAGAAGCCGGTAAAGCCTAGAAACGACTTTACTCCGGTTATGGTAGTAGGGGGCTTCCAATCTCTTAGGGCTTCCACTTTCTCGGGATCTACCTCTAATCCTTGATTAGTTAAAATATACCCTAGGTATTTAGTCCGGGTGACATGGAATTCGCTTTTCTTGATGTCACCCTGGAGTCCTGCTGTTCGCAGTCGTCCGAGTACCTGTTGTACATGGGAGACGTGATCCGAGGGGGTTTCGGAGTACACCAAGATGTCATCCAAGTAGACTATGCAGAACTGGTCTAAATAGTCGATCAGCACATCATTCATATAGCGCTGATACGTGGCGGGACCGTTGCATAGTCCAAAAGGTAACACCTTTGATTTGTAGGTTCCATAGCGAGTACGGAACGTGGTGTATTCCTCGGAGTCGGGGTCCATCCGGATCTTGTTGAAGGCCGCACGAATGTCTAATTTAGTGAACAACTTAGCTTTATGAGTGCGGGCTAACAATTCGTCAATGCGGGGGATCGGGTAGGAGTCTTTTCGTGTGATTGAATTCAGCTTGCGGTAATCGACACAAATGCGTAGGTCTCCGTTAGGCTTCCGAACACAAAGGACTGGGGATGCGAATGGGCAAGAGCTTGGGTCGATATAACCCTTTTGAAGGTTTTCCATTACGAAGGTCTTCGTAGCTTTAAGTTCTTCAGTGCTCTGCTTGTACAGAGGGCTGAATTGATTCGGAAGAGGTTCAGTAAGGACGATTTTGTGGTCATACCGCCGATGTTCAGGTAATCGATCTGCGGCACTTTTGCTAAACACGTCTCGGTAAGAGCGGTATTCGGGAGGGAGCCGGTCCTGAACTAATTTGGCATTCTCAGGGTCGTCTTCCTCCTCTCGTTCTTGCAAGATACGTTCTATTTCGTAGATACTGGTCGTAAAAAACGTGTTTTCCTTCCGTTTCATAGTGTAATGGAAAGCATTAGCGGAGATAACCGCAATGCGAGGCGAAGTAGAG